CTTGTATTTTAAAAAAATTATAATGATGAACTAACTAGACATGGATAAGAACGAAAACAAAATACAAAAACAAGCAGCAACAGCGAATAGTCTTCCATCATATTTTTATCAAGTTACATTTGGATGGATTACAACTGTATAATCAATTCTTTTTACTCATTTTCAATTTTTATCTATGCTTTATCCTAGTTCTTGTATGATAAATCGAAAGAAAAAAGATTTATCATTCTTTCGTTATCACGAAGAAGAAAAAAATAGCGACTAGTAAACAAGAAAAATCTGCATGTTTATCAAAAAAATAAAAAAATAAATACTAAATCATTTGTGTTCGCATATGAAAACCAAATCAAGCATTAGCAAAAAAAGCTTCACTGTAATAAACAAGAAGACCACGACTTTTTGTATTAGCTAAACCTTCAAATTCAGAACCGTCAATACGTGGTGTTTGAATAAAATCTTCGTTTGAATAAACGAAATCAGTATCAGCACGTAAACCATAACGTGGGTTTAATTCTTGTACTAGACTGACAATGTCAAATTCGGCCAAATTTGATTGTGTATCAATGTGTAAATACAAAAAGTTTATCAAAGATCAAAAGAACAAAAGCTCAAGAAGAGAATGTTCACTCATATATATATGTTAGAAATAAAAAACTCTAAATATATATCCATCCAGAAAGTCAAGTGTTTCGTTGACGTTATCTTAATCTTATAATAAAAATTTCGATGAGTTCTTGAGACTATAATTATCAATATGAAAAAAAAGACCACGAACAAGCAAAGAGCAATGCGGATATTATCTTATCTGAATCCACAACTAGATATAATCGACTCATTCTTATATATATAAAGTAGACAAAATAAAAATGAACTTATTTGTATTGTATCTTTTTTGTCTTCTTCGGCATTTGAAATTTTAGTTTTAACACTTATTCAATGTTTAAGACAAACAAATAGTTTTATTTTTCTTTTTTTTATAATGACGAACTGAACTAAATGAACGAGAAAATCTAAGAGTAAAGCTTGTAGAATTTGTTACACTATCTTCTTTTTCCTTTTTACAAAATCATTCATGAAAATATCATTTATGAATGATTTCTAATTGAGATTACGTCGCAGAACATTTTAGATGAACATTATACAAGAGATATGATATCATTGTATCCTGTTATATGTAATGGATATAAATGACTGTCTTGGACTCAGTTTTTCATGCTGAATCCGAAACAAACAATTTTAAAATTTGAAGCAAATGAAAAAATTAAAAATTGGTCGATTATGGAAAATTGTCTTTTCTTTTTTCTTTTTTTCAGACACAGGAGGTCATACGAGAAAACTGAGAATTTTTAACTGAAAGCTCACTTCAAAGAATTAAAGCACGCATATCCTTGATCAGCTCGTCAAGCTCTATTTAACCATATGAAAAAAAGGAAAAAACTTCTGCTTTCATTTTGTATTTCTGAAACTTTACTAAACAAGAAGCTCTATGAAATATGACGATAAACGAAGTCATATACGACAATGTACGGTCATTCATGATAGTCATATACATGTCGTATTTCGTTGTATAGGACACAATGGCATACAGTCGTAATTCTAGGGTCAAGTATAGGACCATATACGATCGTATTTTGCAACGTGTACGATCTTACACGATCATTCATGTTGTCGTATATGACCGTTTATGATAATCGTAATGTTTATCCTGGATTATTAACGTCAACTGTTCCCAGGTCAAAAATGCAGACGTAAGATCTTGTAAGATCAGACAAAATCTTACAGAAAACCATCGTCTCCACAATCGTACACAGGACCGTATTGTAAGATTTTTGAAAGATCTTACTGTCACATAAGATTTTTTGTAATCTTACAGTAATATCGTATCGGGTGGTAAGATGTTT